CTACACAGTATCGATTTTTTTCCCCACCCCTATTGCTTAGTAGCTTTTATTTCTGCACACTGTATTTGCCCACAGTTTCACTCATGTCCCTGTGCTGTCTTGCTGCTAATGGTGACAGCACTGATGCTGCGGCGACTCAGAAACCTGAAACATTTTATTAAAAACATCTCATGGGGACCATATGACAATAACTGCTGTGATAACTAGGACTGGAATTATGTGTCCAGTTGAAGTGTTTCCAAGTGTGTGAGTTTTTCCTCCTTAAAGGTGCAGCAGCACTCTAAGGCCTTACAGTGAGGAGGGCTGGAGTTGTGTATACATATATAGCAGGTTTTTCAGCATGTTAACAAGATGAGTCAGTACAGAGGATTGTGGGTGTGGTGCTTAAACCTGAACTTTCCTCTACTTCCTACCAGCCTGACTACTAACTGTAGCTTTATATCCTTGCATAAAGCATCACTGATTCACTGACTGCACCTGTTGCCTTCATGATGTTCTGAGTCATTTCAGACAGCAAGGTTAATAAACAGATGGATGTAACTGGCAGGATAGAGGGCATGGTGAAAGTGAACAGTGACATTCATTATAATGACTGTAGCTGAACATGTGACATGAATGAACTGAAACCAACATGAGTGTAAGGGTGATCACATGACTCAATCACCAGTGCACACATTCATCATCCACCACATTAAATCCACCTGTCTAATATTATGTAGGTCCCCTCTCATGGTGCCAACACTGCTCTGGCCCGTCGGGGCATGGACGTGGGACTCCAGGGGGAATGGAGACATTGGGTTCCTGGGGTTGTAGGGTTGGGCCTCCGTGATTGGGCTTGTTTTTCAAACATCCTGGCTCGGATTGGGATCTGGGGAGTTTGGAGACCGGGCCAACATCTCGGACCGTTTGTCATGTTCCTGACTAGTTTTGTGGTGTGGTGGGGTGCACTGTCCTGCTGGGGACGACCGCTGCCGTCAGCAAGTGTCTTCGCCAACAGCTGATAGGTAGGTGGCGTGTCTCAGTTACATCCACCTGAACGCTAGGAACCGAGGTTTCTCAGGAGAGTCAAAACTCACTTTCCTGATTACCAAGCTGTACTAGTGCAGTACTAGACTACAGAAAAAAACTGAACTGCCCATGCTTGTTGCCTTCATTATGAGTTTATTACTTTTTAAATGCAATCTAATATCCTAACATCTTATTGTTTTTAATACTATGCACAGTTCACTTCCTCAGTGGCCCGCTAGGTGTTGCTGTTGTATTTTTATACTGTCAGAAGCCTCACGATGAGATTAAACATGAGCTATGTGAGTGAAATGCACACTTTCTCAGTTTTGCTAAAGTAACAGATTATTCGGGGAGAACTGCATTTATCAAGAACAGATTGATTTATTTATTCTATAATTTTGTGTCAACCTGTCAAAGGCAGCAGTTTTTGGAGCCACTGGAATCTAAAAGCTGCTGTCTTGGTCACTAACACTGAAGTCTATTTTTGCATCAGTTCTTAGCTGTAGATAAAAATACTTCCGATCGGTGTTTAGTGTAGCTGTAATCAGATAATACTGCTTATTACCTCACATTTGAAACTGATTACCAGGCAGTTGTCTGGTTGTATCTGAGCCTCTCTGGACTGGACTCTGAGTGTTGCCGATAAATATGGCTGTAAATTACCGTGGTGGTGTGTAGAGGCAAAATTACAAAAATTGTCTTTTTTAGTTATTTTATCAGATATGGGAGATGTCCCACTGCTCTGTTAAAGTAACAAACAGAGCAGTGGGACATCTCTTAAAAAGGTCATTTATCAAGACTGTTCCTCCCAGCTTCCTGCAGATTGTATTATTTATTGTCTATTGAAAAAGTTTCCTTGTAGCTGCTCGCATCATTAAAGCGATCTCACTCCCTCTGTGCAGTCTCCACATGTCCCTCAGTGCCCAGGGCCAGACTATGGTGTCAGCGCTGGTCTTCAGCACTCTGCTGTGGCTCTCCCTCATCCTCGCCCTCAGGTTCTGCCTCAAACTGCTGCTGTCCTACCACCAGTGGATGTTTGAAAAGCACGGCCGGATGTCTAACACCACCAAAGTCTGGGTGGTAAGCCACGTTCCTGCTCGGTCCCACAGCTTCCTCCAGAGGCTGCTGTGTGCGTGTGTTGGACTCGAGGAGTTATTGCATTAATTTTTTCCTGGACTGTGTAATATGTAATATGTAATATGTTGGATAACATGAACCAAAAGCACATTGATTATTTTTAGGCTGAATGGTTCCATGTTATAGTGTTGTGTGGGTTTTTTCTTTTCAAGCACATAACACGTCCAAAAATGCTGCAAACATGAAATGATGTAAAGCTGTTTTAAACATGTTTCTCTGATTTGAAAGAGTAACAGTCTCACTGGATTGTTTGCTTTGCCTCATTCTTGTAGTTTAATTCCTTTTAAGTGGGGCTTGTTCGAGCTTCTGAGCTCGTCTGTTATCTACAGTAGATGGCAGCACACACTGTCAAGCCTGCAGAGCCCTGACTGGGAGATAAAATTCAACTACTGCTGGTGATGATTTACAGCAACACTTAATACTCACTTAAGCGTGAGTTTTGCTTGGAAGTAGAAATGTTCATCTGATCTTGGAGGATTGGTCCATGGAGTCTGGTTTTGAAAATCATGATGATTAAATAAACAGCTCCAGTTTTTCAGTCTTGGATCGGAGCAGTATCTGCCTCCTAGCTGGAAGAGAACTTTGAAAGGGAGCTTTACTTTAAAGAAACTTTATTTTCATTGTCATTAAACCTCCTCCTGTGATAAAGATCGCACCCAGCCCTCTCTAATAGTCAAAGACTGAGGGTTTTTGTTGTAAAAGATAGAAAATCTCTTTTAGGGATAAGATTACATTTTCTTATTGAAAGCACGCTGTCTGTAATGACCGTCTAAAACTGTCTCCCCTCTTTGACCTCTGTTTCTTTCAGCCTCTGGTGAGGTTGCTGTCAAGCAGGAAGCCTTTGCTGTACAGCTATCAGTCGTCTCTACCTCACCTCCCCGTTCCAGCCATCCAAGACACCGTGAGCAGGGTGAGCGTGAACATACACCTGAACACATGGTGGCACATTTAAGTTTGTTTTCTCTCCCCATCCTTATCCTTATCATCTTGTGTTCAAGAATCAGATTAACGCTGCCTGAATGTTTGCCGTTATCAGTACTTGGAGTCGGTGCGCCCTCTGCTGACGGACCCGGAGTTTAAACGCATGTCAGACCTGGCCAATGAGTTTGAGTCGAATCTGGGGAACCGCCTCCAACGCTACCTGAAACTTAAAGCTCTGTGGGCCACCAACTATGTAGGTATTCAGCAGGAAGTACACCCAGTGCAGCTGACAGCGAGGGGTACAGGAGGGTGTATGGGTCATTGACTAACCCTGAGTTACTCATGCTCAAGGGCAACACACGCTGACCTTTGTCCAAACTAAATGAATTGACTCTGTATACAAACAAAAACCAATCTTCTTCAGTGCATAATATCATTTTTATAATTAAACAAATTACTAAACTTTACAATTTCCCCAATAATTTCATGAAAATGAATTTGTGCATGGCTGCTTTTTTTTTTTTTTTTAACCTTGCCAGAGCAGGTGCAGCAGGTTTATATAACAACTTCACCAGGTCACAGGACATCATTTAGCTGCTTTGATCCTGAAGCTTCCGGCTCTGAGCTTTGAATGAGTTAAATGTGTTTGTGGTGGTTCTGCTGCAGTTTTGACAAACACTTTGTGTCGCTCACAGTGAGTCGCTTCACAGCCTTCATATTAATGTGAAGGTGCCACAAATGTTTCCTGTGCTCGCCTGGTAGTGCAGAAAAGTATAGCATCTTCTTAATGATTATTTAAAGCATATACAGCGGTCCCTCATTCATCACCGGGGTTATGTTTTAAAAATAACCCACGATAGGTGAAATCTGCGAAGTAGCCAACTTTCTTTTTTACAATTATTATAATGTTTTAAGGCTGTAAACCCCTCCCTACACACTTTATATACTTTCACACTTTTCTCTCTTGTTTAAACTCTCAAAGTTCAAACCACGCAGGTGGCAACGTTTCATCAACATTGTTGTGTTTGTTGGGGAGAAAGCTTATAAACATACAGTACTGCACTTACAGTCACACTGCTGGCGATCCAAGATTTATGTGAATTTGACAAGCTGAACGCATTCTTTACTGTACAGGAAACATGGCACGAGATTGTTTGACAATGATCTACAGCCAATCAGGACGCAGAACACAATGTGCTATATTTAAAAAATAAATAAATAAAAATCTGCGAAAGGTGAACCGCGATATAGCGAGGGAGAACTGTAACGCATAAGTTCAGTATTTGCATTTTTATTAATGAAAGTACTTCAGACAAACGTTTGGGCACAGTAAACTTTGACTTGAGTAAACGTTCTTTTGCCAGCTCTGTAATCTGTGAGTGACAACTGACAGAAGTGACGCAGTACTTATTTAAAAAGCAAATTGTTGTTGTTGTCCTCCTTGTAAATCGTCACGACCTCTGTTATCACTACAATACGTCCTCACGTCCTGGTGTTTGAACTTTTTAAACTTGAGCAGCTGCGTCTTGTTCGGGTGCTGAGTTTGACTGTTACAGGTTTGAGTCACTGCTCTGTGGTGCACGGTCAGTGTGCCCTTACTGACACAGCTGATGCATAATGTAATTTATCCCTTTTTATTTGCAAGTTTTCTTATAAAGCTTGCAACTGTAAAGCAATACATTTTGCAATTTTTAATCCTCATGCTTTGTGCTCCTGGTTTGAAAAGAACAAAGACTTTAGATTCCTGTTTTGGCTCTAGGTGAGTGACTGGTGGGAGGAATACGTCTATTTAAGGAGCCGAGGTCCCATAATGGTCAACAGTAACTACTATGGAATGGTAACCACTGCTTCTTTATACAATTACATGTTTACATTCTGAGCTAAGGTTAGGAGTTATATTAAGGTCAGAATGTTTTATTTTCTTTACTTGCTTAAATCTACACCTCATATCCTGTTGTCATTTTTAAACCCGAGCTTCCTGTCAGTCCAGCTCAACCTTTTAGCCTTATCTTGTTGGCTGTGTTTTTAGAGAGACGAGGGAATCATCCAACATTTCATTCTCCTTCCTCTGGTTCTAAATCAAAAATCTTCTGATAGTCGTCTTTTATTTAAATCTATCCCTTGTGTGGTCCTTCCAGGATTTTCTGTACGTGACACCAACCTCAGTGCAGGCGGCCAGGGCAGGGAACACGATCACTGCCCTGCTGCTCTACCGCCGCAAGGTGAACCGGGAGGAACTGAAGCCGGTGAGGCTGCACACATTTCTGCAGATTGGAAAAATAATGCGATGGAGTGGGTCTGCGTCTGTTGCGCTGTTTGTTTTTAAAATTAATAAAAATAAAATTTCTGATGATACCTGCCACTGTCAGAAGTTTGCATCAGTAATCTTAAAAAGGTCGGTGTCTCTCAGGCTGAAATGATGAGCTCCTGTTTTATTATGTTGACCAGAATGTATTCAAAGTTCAGATTCAGTTTTAATACAGAGGGATTCAATGGAAATATTGCATTAATATTGTGGCATTGCTTTTAAACACATGGTCTCAGATGTAATTGGACTGATCAGAATAAAAGACAATAGTTTTTTTTCTCAAAGATATTTTTATTAAATTGAAGTAACAAAGAAAAACAGATGCACACAGAATTGTTACACAACAAACAAGTAGGTTTCACAATGACTGTTTGAACTGAATCAGAATCAGAAATACTTTAATCCCGAAGGAAATTATGGGTTACAGCAGGCAGCATGCTAAATGACACATGCAAAGAAACCCTATGACCAAACATACTTTACACAAACATTACATTAGGGAGACATGTCGAGAGAGAGACTGGTGGGAAAAAAACAACGAAAATACACAACATGAGGTGAGAGGAGGGCGAAAAACCTCCACTCAGACTGAGCTCCTAATGGGAGAACAGTTTGAGAACAGAAAAAAACACCCCAGCACAAAAAGCACATGACTGTCAGTACACCACAGACACACAAGATAAGCAACAGGGGTGAGTAAAGGGTGAGGGAGAGCCGGTGTAGACAGCACATGCTTGTGTGTATCCTGAGTTTAGCTGAGAGAGTGTCCTTGTCCCAGCCAGGCTAAGTAAACAGTCTTCCAGCTGACCCAGGTGGCTTTGCATGGGACAGGAAGGAACAGAAATAACAGAATAATGACACACTCGCATATCTTGTAATTGCGTTAAGCAGTTTACCCCCCTACCCATACCACATAGTAGCCCTATCCCTCAGGACAAGTACAAAAACAAGAAACAGAAACAACAAACGCCATTGCAAGTACAACAGGACAAAGCAGAACAAAATAAAACAAACACACAAAAACATAAAGGCCCCTTCACAGCAGAAACAGCTGCTAACTGCTAACTAAAAGCCAAGGATCCAGAATATGTTGCGCTGGCTGCTGAGCTCTGTGGGGTTTTGCGGCACCTCTACGTGTACTAGATGCGCCTGCTCCCTGTCGTTTCTAGCTCTGTTGAAAAGGCTCTGGAGTAGCCCATACTGGGGGTCTCTGTATAAGCAGGTTAACCTGTGACACAAAAAATAACCGAACTCGGACACACACAGACTGTTTTCCTTCGTGGTGATGAAGGAAATTGCTGGGCTGGCATGTAAAAAGGCATTTATTCTTTTAGGACCTACAGCTCAGTAAAGCACTCCTCCAACAGCCAAACCCATCTGTTCTCTGATTGAATTGTTAATAAAAATTGAATTGAATTTCACCAGTTTGGTCAGTTTTCAGGATACAAGCTCAACCTATATAAAAGTGAGTTGTTTCCTGTGGATGGAAGGGCACCAGTGTATGACTATACTAACCTCCACTTTAAAATAGCAGGAGATCAGTTTACATGTAAAAATATAACGCTATGCTCTGGCAGACTTGGTTCTATGGTGGGTCTTAAAGGGTTAAAGTTATCCATTAAGGTGCTTTCCTGCAGGAAGGTGTAATGTTGAGAGTAAAAAGTCCTAAACTTATCATTAATTTTGGAAGGTAGTCCACAGCCCATTGTGTAATATGGGTGCACATGCCTTTGATAGTCAGTTTATTCTGGCAGTGACTCTTGTTTCCTGAGGTACTGCAGAACCTTTGGTGTGCTCCAAAATCGTCTGTCTACTACCCACCTTGCTTTTTTACAGCTCCCCTTTAAAGCGAGAGCAACGGAAGGGTGCAGCCATCTGTGTAGGCTGTATTTAGTGGTCAGTGGCTGTTGTGTGGCTGCTGATTTCCATTGATTCAAATAACAATGGGTTGTGTTATCTAAGGGTCTAATGTCCATCTAAAACAAATGGAAAATAGCCAGTGTGTTTGTGTGTTTGTGCTGTAGAGCCGCGTTCCGGGTACCGTCATCCCCCTGTGTGCTGCTCAGTGTGAGAGGATGTTCAACACAACGCGCACACCAGGAGTCGAGACTGGTAACAAACTCACACACACTCAGAGTAGATGCAGCACATAAACATGCACTTTGATTGTTGCAGTTGTATTTCTCTCGCTCAGTGTCTTTAATAAGGGAAGCTGTTTCTCTGCTAAATTCTATTGATTGCTGTTCTTCTATTATATGCTCATTCTATTTCTGTTACCTGAAGCCGGATATTCAGGATATGAGGATATTGAAGTAGCATTATTGAAGTATGGTATTGAAGTTCATTATCAGGTACTAAATTATCATCGGAGGCTGATGCGCTCTTACACTCAGACATGCCCGGGCTTGTCTTTTTACACACTTTAGGCAATGTAAACACATCTCATGGTTATATCTTATTGTTGTTGCAGACTGTATAATATGCCACGGCCCTACTCTTTTTCACAGATGTGCTCCAGCACTGGCTAGACAGCGAGTTTGTAGCAGTGTACCACAGGGGGCGCTATTTTCGCCTGTGGGTGTACCGGGCAGGCCGCCTGCTGTCCCCCAGGGAGATTGAAGACCAGATCCAGAGAATCCTGGATGACGCTTCACCCCCGCTTCCTGGAGAGGAGAAGCTAGGAGCTCTCACTGCTGGAGACAGGTGCGTACAAAGTGGCAGCCCCCTATCATCCTGATATGCTTACTACTGGCTCCAAAAACTTGACATGGCACAGTGTGGTGCTGTTGGAATTTTCTAAATGTCGGGGAAAAGCGGGTGACGTCACATGCCTTTTTATCCCTTTTTATATACAGGCTATAGTAGGCAATTTTAATACATTTTCTAACTTGACTAACTGAAATATTTGGGAGAAATATGAACAGGTTCTAGTCTGTATTTAAGGTTTATTGATAAGAGGTTCTTTAAAACTGAATAAACCTTTTAAGGTTAAAATAAACTATTTTCTTTCATTAAAATAAAATAATTAAATTTTTTTATTTCTTTACTGAAACACAGCAAGTTTGTATAAAGCTGTTTGAACCTGCTGTCTTTATATTTAGCAGGTTGCTCAGAGGCAGCTACAGCGCGACCACTGGATGGCACCATAATATACTAATCAGAGCTCTTTACTGATACATATTAGCTATACCAGAGGTTCCCAAACTTTTTTGCTGGGCCCCCCTTGTTTTACAAGAAAAATGTTCGCCCCCCCCCCCTTCTCGCACGCACGCATATTTTGCTCCATTTTGGTTTATTTAACACCTCAAACATTTAGTAAACAATTAAGCAAATACAAGTAATCTGCAATAAATTACAGGTAGTAATAAAATAATAGCCTATGTGTGTTTGTGCTGGCAATCATGAGAAATAAGTGTGCTGGTGAACTGTTTGCCTTTGTGGAAAAAAACCCACACGAAACACCCACATGTCAGTGTGTTGTTTCTTAATGCCCTCACTGATAGAAATCTATGCATACTGATTTTCTTTGATAAGCTCACATGATTTAACTTTCAATTGCACTTTTCTCCAAAGGCCATTAAGACTTGGCATATATGCACGTCTCCCTCTCTTCAGGATTCCCTGTTGTGATTAAAGCTAAATATTGTTGTGTTGGTTAAATCTGTTTAAGACTGGGTGTCTTTAGCAGGCGCTCCCATCCTGTTACTAGTCTCGTGCTGGTTTGTTTTCTGGTATGATCAGTATTGTGCATAATTTACAAAAAGATGGAAATGACATCAGAACTACAGTCTGGATATTGTGCTGCCTGCACATTATGCATGGCTTAAAGCAAACAAAGTGTGAAAAGTGCCACTGACGTGCATAGCAGGAACAGTCCAATGAGCCTTTGCATTAATGGCCCGTCCGTCAAGCTGTGTGTATTACTAAAGTAGTGAGCCGACCAGCAAATCGGACACAGTACGAGATCTTAGAAAACATCACTGGGCTTTTGTCCAAGAACTGTCATCTGATTTTGACATTTGCAGCACATGCTGATGTCTTTGACTGTGTGGAAACCTTGTTGGAAGCTTCAGTCTGCTTGATGGGAACAATAGTTTGATGTTTTGTGAGTTTTCAGATTGTCTTAAGTTATCTTAGAGTGGACTAAGTACTTGAGAAGGATGCAGTGTTTAGTGAAGTACGTTTTCTCATGATTGTTATGGAGCGTCTGCAGTTTCCGCTGAGTTGAGCCTTCTGTGAACTTTCTCCACTTCCGAGGCTCTTTTAGTACTTTGTTTTAGGACAATTGTGCAAAAAGACTTGCTGACTGTGAGTACAGACCCGTGAGCAAAGCAATGATTTATAATATATATATGTCATCTCCTCCCAGAATCCCTTGGGCTCAGATGAGGAAGCAGTACTTCAGCTCTGGGGTCAACAAGAGATCGCTGGATATCATTGAGAGGGCGGCCTTCTTTGTAACCTTGGATGATGAGGAGCAAGGCATGAGGGGAGATGACCCAGAGGGGAACTTGGACAGCTACGCCAAGTCTCTGCTTCATGGGAAATGTTATGACAGGTGAGGAGGTCACTAAGGAACCTGTGTGGGGAGGGGTTTTATGGATCTGGTATATTTAAAACAGTGTTTGGTGCCTTCAAGAGCCTAACTGCAGTAAGCATTGTATAAAAATTGGAAAGTGAAGGTAGATTTGTAGCATTATTTGGTTCATCATGGAGACAAAAGATACTTCATCACATCACCACTTCGAGTAGAATACATACCCAAGGGAATGCTCTGGAATCCTGTGGCAACTGATCGCTTCATAGTCCGTCCATGTAAGAATGATGTAATGTGATGCTGATGTTTTCCACATAGGAAAAATGATCTTTATCTCCATGCATTTAAGATCTTGGCTAATCGTGGTCCATCTTATTGTAAAGACCTGAAAGTACCATGTTACTCCAAACAAGTACTTCA